TATTTGGTTGTACCATGTCACTGCCGCTTCTGGCCAATCTATTTCATTGTTTTCCAAGCCACAGTGACCTGGAATCCACTGCAGTACAGATTGTCCTACTGAAGACCCTAAGTAAATCAGCTGTTGAGTCAAGTCTACAAACTGAGTGTCTTTTGGGTTAACAATTGCTTGTAGAACTGACATAGCATCAGTCAGAAAGACCACTCTGCTATATTTGCTGTGCTGTTGTCCATTCAGGAAAGAACATGCTGCTAGAAATGCTTCTGCCTCTGCTCTGTAATTGGAGGAATATGAACCTGTTGGTACAGCCTGGTTGATTTTTAAACCATTTGGGCATTCTATGTATAATACTCCTCCTCCGTCTCTTACTGCTCTCTTGGCTGAACCATCTGTATACACTCGAATCCAACTCTGGTGTGGGTAAAGTCTATTGATCTCTTCTTCCGTAGTTGATTTCATATCAGTGCTGCTCATTGATGATTTGGAGGAGATCCCTGTTACAGTGGTTCTGACTGTTGGTAGGCTATCTCTGAGCCAAGGGGGGCAGTCGTTGTAAGGTTTCAGTGGAACATTTGGTATTATGGGAGGGAGTTTAAGGACAGCGAGCTTGGCATTTGCGTTCTTAATAAAACATGTTCTCTTTAGTCTAGCCTTCTGGTGTTTCTGCAGTCGGCTGTGCATGGGTTGTTCTTGAAAGTGGTGGTATTTGGAGAGCTGGGTGAGGAGCTTTGTGTCTCTCCTATCTTCCAGATCACGGAGACCAGTAATTGTTTCCATGTCTGATATGGGCGTGGAGCGCATTGCCCCTGTCATAATACGGAGAGCGTGGTTTTGGATCTTTGAGACTTTCTGAAAATTTGATTTAGCTGCTGTGCCCCAAGCAGCTATTCCATATTCTAGTGTTTGCCTCACATAGCCTGTATAGGTCCTCTTAAGGACATTGAGGTTTGCCCCCCCCCCCCCCCCCCCCCAGTCTGTTCCAGCTAACTTCCTCATAACATTGTATATGATCACTGGTATTATATGTCTGATACTACAACATTGTATATGATCACTGGTATTGTGTGTATGACACTACAACATTGTATATGATCACAGGTATTGTGTGTATGACACTACAACATTGTATATAATCACTGGTATTGTGTGTATGACACTACAACATTGTATATGATCACAGGTATTGTGTGTATGACACTACAACATTGTATATGATCACTGGTATTATATGTCTGATACTACAACATTGTATATGATCACTGGTATTATATGTCTGACACTACAACATTGTATATAATCACTGGTATTGTGTGTATGACACTACAACATTGTATATGATCACTGGTATTGTGTGTATGACACTACAACATTGTATATGATCACTGGTATTGTGTGTATGACACTACAACATTGTATATGATCACTGGTATTGTGTGTATGACACTACAACATTGTATATGATCACTGGTATTGTATATATGACACTACAACATTGTATATGATCACTGGTATTGTATGTATGACACTACAACATTGTATATGTTCACTGGTATTGTATGAATGACACTACAACATTGTATATGATCACTGGTATTGTATGTATGACACTAAAACATTGTATATGTTCACTGGTATTGTATGAATGACACTACAACATTGTATATGATCACTGGTATTGTATGTATGACACTACAACATTGTAAATGATCACTGGTATTATATGTCTGACACTACAACATTGTATATGTTCACTGGTATTGTATGAATGACACTACAACATTGTATATGATCACTGGTATTGTATGTATGACACTACAACATTGTATATGATCACTGGTATTATATGTCTGATACTACAACATTGTATATGATTACTTGTATTATATGTCTGACACTACAACATTGTATATGATCACTGGTATTGTATTGTCTCTACTTCCAGGTGTGGACACAGTCTTGTTTGTTGCAAAAGTTCAGGGACAGAAGTCTGTTCGACAGCTGGCACCTGTTCCCAAGGTAACGTGTTGGTGTTTCTACTGTGCTAGAGAACTTCCTGTTTGACCTTGATTGTTTCATTGTTGATTCCATCTAGGATCCTGTTGAATCATGGGTAGACTAGCAGCTCAGGGCAGTTGTGGTGTTGTAGTAAACTGTTGAGTACACCATGGTGGGTCAGCACGTGTGTGGAGGATGTAGAGATCCCATGGACTTGGATGATTTCAGTTTTGTGGCATACGAGAATATCTGTTTTAGAAATGATTGACAGTATGCCAGACAGCCTTGGACTTGGATGATTACAGTATTGTGGCATCCAAGAATATCTGTTTTGGAAATGATTGTCATTATGCCAGACAGCCTTGGACTTGGATAATTACTACCGCATCCCAACGAGGATGTTTAGAAGACAGATTTGGGCATATTTCATCAGAACTATTTCTTTGAGTGAAGCATGTATGCTTTTTCTGCCTTCTGTACCCCAGTGGACTATAGGCCCTCAACCAGCTTATGATAAGCTGTCATCCTATCCTTTGCTGTCATATGCAGTTCACTTCCTTTATTCTCTCAGTCTTTCTGACTTCACTTTCTAGTTCTTGTGCATTTTTTGGTCTTTGACCTCTGTGGGTTCCTGCAAAGACATTGTAGTTATATTATCGGTCTTTTCAACGTGTCTTTTCCAACGCTATCATCTTTTCTTCACCACCAGATTCAATTGAATCTTTTTGGTTCTTTCCAGGAACGGCACGTTAGTGATTATATATATTATATATTATATATATATTATATTATATGATTTATGTTTTGAGTATGTGTGCTGAATATATGTTGACGTAGAGGGTTCCACTTAGCTGCTCTAGGTATTTGTTTAAATATTGATCATTGACCCAGTGATGAAGCCTTATTACAGGTTTTTACAATGATGAAGTGATGATAAAAGAGATGAAGCCTTATTACAGGTTTTTACAATGATGACGTGATGATAAAAGAGAAGAAGCCTTATTACAGGTTTTTACAATGACGAAGTGATGATAAAAGAGATGAAGCCTTATTACAGGTTTTTACAATGATGAAGTGATGATAAAAGAGATGAAGCCTTCTTACAGGTTTTTAAAATGATGAAGTGATGATAAAAGAGATGAAGCCTTATTACAGGTTTTTACAATGATGAAGTGATGATAAAAGAGATGAAGCCTTATTACAGGTTTTTACAATGATGAAGTGATGATAAAAGAGATGAAGCTTTATTACAGGTTTTCGAAAACAGAGTATTACGATCAATCTGTGGACCCATCAAAGATGCAAACAGGGGTGAATGCAGAGTGAGAAGCAACAATAAAATTCATAATCTGTTTGTAAATCACCATTAACCACTAGCATCCTGAGAGCCTATAGACTGAAATGGTTGGGGGCATATTGAAAGAATGACAGAGAAGTCAACACAGTATACACCTGGGAGATGAATGGTTGGGGGCATATTGAAAGAATGACAGAGAAGTAAACACAGTATACACCTGGGAGATGAATGGTTGGGGGCATATTGAAAGATTGACAGAGAAGTAAACACAGTATACACCTGGGAGATTAATGGTTGGGGGCATATTGAAAGAATGACAGAGAAGTAAACACAGTATACACCTGGGAGATGAATGGTTGGGGGCATATTGAAAGAATGACAGAGAAGTAAACACAGTATACACCTGGGAGGTGAATGGTTGGGGGCATATTGAAAGAATGACAGAGAAGTAAACACAGTATACACCTGGGAGATTAATGGTTGGGGGCATATTGAAAGATTGACAGAGAAGTAAACACAGTATACACCTGGGAGATGAATGGTTGGGGGCATATTGAAAGAATGACAGAGAAGTAAACACAGTATACACCTGGGAGATGAATGGTTGGGGGCATATTGAAAGAATGACAGAGAAGTCAACACAGTATACACCTGGGAGGTGAATGGTCGTAGATGACGAGGCAGAGCAAGAAGATGGAGCGAGAACATTTAAACAGACCTGCAAGCATTTGGTGTCACCAACTGGAAAGAGAAGGCCAACCAGAGAGATCGGGGGGGGGGGGGGGGGGGGGGGGGGGGGGGTTGGATATCTGCAGCAATGAACCTTACAGGCTCGGAATGATGATCATTGACCCACATATTTCATATTTCTGTGTCTACGTGGTTTTATTTTATATTGATAATTAGAACATATATTTCAGCCATACTTAATTCAGCTGGCCAGCGACAGTGTCCTTCAGCTTCAGCACCAGGACTATATTGAAGTATGGCGACTTGGAGCTGCCAGTCCTCCATTTGGTGAGTAGTGGCATGACACCGGTCACCTCAGGTGGACATCTCATTAATAGATGTTTTAGTAATGATAATGTAGTGGCACGACACCGGTCACCCCAGGTGGATTTTCATTAATAGATGTTTTAGTAATGATAATGTAGTGGCACGACACCGGTCACCCTAGATGGATTCTCATTAGTGGATGTTTTAGTAATGATAATGTAGTGGCACGACACCGGTCACCTTAGATGGATTCTCATTAGTGGATGTTTTAGTAATGATAATGTTACTGTATGATGTGTACCAGCTTATGTTACTGTATGATGTGTACCAGCTTATGTTACTGTATGATGTGTACCAGCTTATGTTACTGTATGATGTGTACCAGGCTATGTTACTGTATGATGTGTACTAGGTTATGTTACTGTGTGATGTGTACCAGGCTATGCTACTGTGTGATGTGTACCAGGCTATGCTCTTGTGTGATGCGTACCAGGCTATGCTACTGTATGATGTGTACCAGGTTATGTTACTGCGTGATGTGTACCAGGCTATGCTACTGTGTGATGTGTACCAGGCTATGCTACTGTGTGATGTGTACCAGGCTATGTTACTGTATGATGTGTACCAGGCTATGTTACTGTGTGATGTGTACCAGGCTATGCTACTGTGTGATGTGTACCAGGCTATGCTACTGTGTGATGTGTACCAGGCTATGTTACTGTATGATGTGTACCAGGCTATGTTACTGTATGATGTGTACCAGGCTATGTTACTGTATGATGTGTACCAGGCTATGTTACTGTATGATGTGTACCAGCTAATGTTACTGTATGATGTGTACCAGGCTATGTTACTGTATGATGTGTACCAGCCTATGTTACTGTATGATGTGTACCAGCTTATGTTACTGTATGATGTGTACCAGCTTATGTTACTGTATGATGTGTACCAGCTAATGTTACTGTATGATGTGTACCAGCTAATGTTACTGTATGATGTGTACCAGCTAATGTTACTGTATGATGTGTACCAGCTTATGTTACTGTATGATGTGTACCAGGCTATGTTACTGTATGATGTGTACCAGCTAATGTTACTGTATGATGTGTACCAGCTAATGTTACTGTATGATGTGTACCAGCTAATGTTACTGTATGATGTGTACCAGCTAATGTTACTGTATGATGTGTACCAGGCTATGTTAGTGTATGATGTGTACCAGCTTATGTTACTGTATGATGTGTACCAGCTTATGTTACTGTATGATGTGTACCAGGCTATGTTACTGTATGATGTGTACCAGCTTATGTTACTGTATGATGTGTACCAGCTTATGTTACTGTATGATGTGTACCAGCTAATGTTACTGTATGATGTGTACCAGCTAATGTTACTGTATGATGTGTACCAGGCTATGTTAGTGTATGATGTGTACCAGCTTATGTTACTGTATGATGTGTACCAGCTTATGTTACTGTATGATGTGTACCAGGCTATGTTACTGTATGATGTGTACCAGCTTATGTTACTGTATGATGTGTACCAGCTTATGTTACTGTATGATGTGTACCAGGCTATGTTACTGTATGATGTGTACCAGCTTATGTTACTGTATGATGTGTACCAGGCTATGTTACTGTATGATGTGTACCAGGCTATGTTACTGTATGATGTGTACTAGGTTATGTTACTGTGTGATGTGTACCAGGCTATGCTACTGTGTGATGTGTACCAGGCTATGCTCTTGGGTGATGTGTACCAGGTTATGTTACTGCGTGATGTGTACCAGGTTATGTTACTGCGTGATGTGTACCAGGCTATGTTACTGTATGATGTGTACCAGGCTATGTTACTGTATGATGTGTACCAGGCTATGTTACTGTATGATGTGTACCAGCCTATGTTACTGTATGATGTGTACCAGCTAATGTTACTGTATGATGTTTACCAGGCTATGTTACTGTATGATGTGTACCAGCTTATGTTACTGTATGATGTGTACCAGGCTATGTTACTGTATGATGTGTACTAGGTTATGTTACTGTGTGATGTGTACCAGGCTATGCTACTGTGTGATGTGTACCAGGCTATGCTCTTGTGTGATGTGTACCAGGCTATGCTACTGTATGATGTGTACCAGGTTATGTTACTGCGTGATATATATTCACCACAGCTGAAGCCCGGGGCATGTTGCCACTGATACGAAACAGAACCAAACTGCTGCAGCTGAAGGCCAGAAAGGGACATGAGATCTTGTGTAGCACTATATCCTCAGATCTGTTGATGGCATTCTCTGACACACAAGGCATTCGCTTGTTCCAGCTTCACCTGGTAGGTGCAGTCATTGATTGGTCAGCTAGAGAAAACATTCGCATAGGCCTTCTGTCAGTCTCTCTGTCTTTCTATCTCTCTCTCCACGTTCATTTCTATTTCTACCTACTTTTAAATCCCTGTCTTGTTTGTCTTTGTTTGTCCCTGCCTCTCCCTCTGTTTTGTCTTTGTATGTCTCTCTATATCCCCTCTCCTTTTTCCTGCCTGTCTACATCTCTTGTCTTCTCCACTCCCTCCCTTTGTGCCCAACTCTGTCACTCTCTAAGAACACCAACCCCCACCCCCCTCCCCCCGTCCTTGCCACTCTACTGCTTCTTTTCTTCACTCTTTGTATCTCTGTCCCTCCCCTGTTTGTCTGTGAATGATGAGCATTTTTGCTACTTGCTTCCTTCTGCTACATAGTCTAGTATATAACGAAATAAACACATCATGTCTGTCTATCTGTGTGTGGCCCCCTCACAAAACATGTCACATTGTTATAACCTCTTCCACAGAACAACATGTAACAATGTTCTAACCCTCTCCACAGAACAACATGAAACAATGTTCTGACCCCCTCCACAGAACAACATGGAACAAGGTTCTGACCCCCTCCACAAAACAGCATGAAACAATGTTCTAACACCCTCCACAGAACAACATGTAACAATGTTCTAACTCTCTCCACAGAACAACATGAAACAATGTTCTAACCCCCTCCACAGAACAACATGAAACAATGTTCTAACACCCTCCATAGAACAACATGTAACAATGTTCTAACACCCTCCACAGAACAACATGTAACAATGTTCTGACCCCCTCCACAGAACAACATGTAACAATGTTCTAACCCCCTCCACAGAAAGATGACTTCTCATCTGTACCCGAAGTGAGACTAGAGCATAAAGACTGCAGACTGACACATCCTGCTCACTGTCTGGCCTTCACCCCTGACGGGAGCACACTCGTAGCTGTTTTAACTACAGGCAGTGTCCAGGTGGTCAACCTGAAAGGTGTGCCAGCAGATCTGGTGTTGCCAGATATCTGTGGTAAGTGTACTATCAGACTAGCCAGTTCTCCTCTCACATCTGGTGTTGCCAGATATCTGTGGTAAGTGTACTATCAGACTAGCCAGTTCTCCTCTCACATCTGGTGTTGCCAGATATCTGTGGTAAGTGTACTATCAGACTAGCCAGTTCTCCTCTCACATCTAGTGTTGCCAGATATCTGTGGTAAGTGTACTATCAGACTAGCCAGTTCTCCTCTCACATCTAGTGTTGCCAGATATCTGTGGTAAGTGTACTATCAGACTAGCCAGTTCTCCTCTCACATCTGGTGTTGCCAGATATCTGTGGTAAGTGTACTATCAGACTAGCCAGTTCTCCTCTCACATCTGGTGTTGCCAGATATCTGTGGTAAGTGTACTATCAGACTAGCCAGTTCTCCTCTCACATCTAGTGTTGCCAGATATCTGTGGTAAGTGTACTATCAGACTAGCCAGTTCTCCTCTCACATCTGGTGTTGCCAGATATCTGTGGTAAGTGTACTATCAGACTAGCCAGTTCTCCTCTCACATCTGGTGTTGCCAGATATCTGTGGTAAGTGTACTATCAGACTAGCCAGTTCTCCTCTCACATCTGGTGTTGCCAGATATCTGTGGTAAGTGTACTATCAGACTAGCCAGTTCTCCTCTCACATCTGGTGTTGCCAGATATCTGTGGTAAGTGTACTATCAGACTAGCCAGTTCTCCTCTCACATCTGGTGTTGCCAGATATCTGTGGTAAGTGTACTATCAGACTAGCCAGTTCTCCTCTCACATCTAGTGTTGCCAGATATCTGTGGTAAGTGTACTATCAGACTAGCCAGTTCTCCTCTCACATCTGGTGTTGCCAGATATCTGTGGTAAGTGTACTATCAGACTAGCCAGTTCTCCTCTCACATCTGGTGTTGCCAGATATCTGTGGTAAGTGTACTATCAGACTAGCCAGTTCTCCTCTCACATCTGGTGTTGCCAGATATATGTGGTAAGTGTACTATCAGACTAGCCAGTTCTCTCACATCTGGTGTTGCCAGATATCTGTGGTAAGTGTACTATCAGACTAGCCAGTTCTCCTCTCACATCTGGTGTTGCCAAATATCTGTGGTAAGTGTACTATCAGACTAGCCAGTTCTCCTCTCACATCTGGTGTTGCCAGATATCTGTGGTAAGTGTACTATCAGACTAGCCAGTTCTCCTCTCACATCTGGTGTTGCCAGATATCTGTGGTAAGTGTACTATCAGACTAGCCAGTTCTCCTCTCACATCTGGTGTTGCCAGATATCTGTGGTAAGTGTACTATCAGACTAGCCAGTTCTCCTCTCACATCTGGTGTTGCCAGATATCTGTGGTAAGTGTACTATCACTAGCCAGTTCTCCTCTCACATCTAGTGTTGCCAGATATCTGTGGTAAGTGTACTATCAGACTAGCCAGTTCTCCTCTCACATCTGGTGTTGCCAGATATCTGTGGTATGTGTATCATCAGACTAGCTGGTTCTCCTCTCACATCTGGTGTTGCCAGATATATGTGGTAAGTGTACTATCAGACTAGCCAGTTCTCCTCTCACATCTGGTGTTGCCAGATATCTGTGGTAAGTGTATCATCAGACTAGCTGGTTCTCCTCTCACATCTGGTGTTGCCAGATATCTGTGGTAAGTATACTATCAGACTAGCCAGTTCTCCTCTCACATCTGGTGTTGCCAGATATCTGTGGTAAGTGTATCATCAGACTAGCTGGTTCTCCTCTCACATCTGGTGTTGCCAGATATCTGTGGTAAGTGTACTATCAGACTAGCCAGTTCTCCTCTCACATCTGGTGTTGCCAGATATCTGTGGTAAGTGTACTATCAGACTAGCCAGTTCTCCTCTCACATCTGGTGTTGCCAGATATCTGTGGTAAGTGTACCATCAGACTAGCCTGTTCTCCTCTCACATCTGGTGTTGCCAGATATCTGTGGTAAGTGTACTATCAGACTAGCCAGTTCTCCTCTCACATCTGGTGTTGCCAGATATCTGTGGTAAGTGTACTATCAGACTAGCTGGTTCTCCTCTCACATCTAGTGTTGCCAGATATCTGTGGTAAGTGTATCATCAGACTATCCAGTTCTCCTCTCACATCTGGTGTTGCCAGATATCTGTGGTAAGTGTATCATCAGACTAGCCAGTTCTCCTCTCACATCTAGTGTTGCCAGATATCTGTGGTAAGTGTAGTATCAGACTAGCCAGTTCTCCTCTCACATCTGGTGTTGCCAGATATCTGTGGTAAGTGTACTATCAGACTAGCCAGTTCTCCTCTCACATCTGGTGTTGCCAGATATCTGTAGTAAGTGTACTATCAGACTAGCCAGTTCTCCTCTCACATCTAGTGTTGCCAGATATCTGTGGTAAGTGTACTATCAGACTAGCCAGTTCTCCTCTCACATCTGGTGTTGCCAGATATCTGTGGTAAGTGTACTATCAGACTAGCCAGTTCTCCTCTCACATCTGGTGTTGCCAGATATCTGTGGTAAGTGTACTATCAGACTAGCCAGTTCTCCTCTCACATCTGGTGTTGCCAGATATCTGTGGTAAGTGTACTATCAGACTAGCCAGTTCTCCTCTCACATCTGGTGTTGCCAGATATCTGTGGTAAGTGTACTATCAGACTAGCCAGTTCTCCTCTCACATCTGGTGTTGCCAGATATCTGGTAAGTGTACTATCAGACTAGCCAGTTCTCCTCTCACATCTGGTGTTGCCAGATATCTGTGGTAAGTGTACTATCAGACTAGCCAGTTCTCTCACATCTGGTGTTGCCAGATATCTGTGGTAAGTGTACTATCAGACTAGCCAGTTCTCCTCTCACATCTAGTGTTGCCAGATATCTGTGGTAAGTGTACTATCAGACTAGCCGGTTCTCCTCTCACATCTAGTGTTGCCAGATATCTGTGGTAAGTGTACTATCAGACCAGCCAGTTCTCCTCTCACATCTGGTGTTGCCAGATATCTGTGGTAAGTGTACTATCAGACTAGCCGGTTCTCCTCTCACATCTGGTGTTGCCAGATATCTGTGGTAAGTGTACTATCAGACTAGCCAGTTCTCCTCTCACATCTGGTGTTGCCAGCTGAAGCCATTCCAGTATTTTGTAAACACATGTTTTGTACTTTTGGTAGCTGAAACATATTCCAGCAGTTTGTGAACACTTGTGTTGTATTGTTGGTAGCTGAAGCCATGCCAGCAGTTTGTGAACACTTGTAATGTTGGTAGCTGAAGCCATGCCAGCAGTTTGTGAACACTTGTGTTGTATTGTTGGTAGCTGAAACATATGCCAGTAATTTGTGAACACTTGTG